GAGAGAGAGAGAGAGAGAGAGAGAGAGAGATAAAGGGAGGAGGACGAGTGAGGAAGAAGGAGGGAGGAAGGAAAGGGCGACTGAAAAAGAATTGCAGCAACGTTGGTGGATCGAGGTTGTACGTTGCAGATTAAATTGCAGCGAGAAACCTCTTCATTAAATCTTGAATGAAAATTCCGATATTTCGAGAAACAAAAATCGAGATCAAGGATAAGATGTGCCTGTCAATTTTTCAATTCGCCCGCGTCTGCCTTGAGCTTTTGTCACGCGACTCCCCCATGGTGTCAAGTAGATTCCCGCGGGATCTCTCACCGTGTTAAGAACGGCCTACACTCGATCGCGCGCTTGCCCGATCCGTCATTTTTATTCGCGGGCGGTTTGTCTTACATAAGGAGAAAGCAGCGACCGTGGAAGTCTTCCCACGCCGACGAGCGCTCGGATCTCTCGTCGCGCCTTACGCGGTAGACGCTAATCGACGTTGGGCGGACGAAAATTGATTCATTATCAGCCTCGTCGCTATTCGCGCGTTGCCCTCGCTGCCATCGTCGCCGTCGTCGTTGCACGCGCTACATTAATTTTTCCGACGCGCGTATGTAACGAGCAACTCATTCGCCTACATTCATCACCATGATCTGTTCCCTATGGCACAGCCAATAATAATTCTGTCGTGCATCGTAGGCAGTTAGATGTGTAGATACGCGCACAGATTAGCGACTGATTGTATTAATTAGGAGGTTCGAAAGGGGCGGCAGGAAAGTCGATTATATTGTCTCTAGAATGTAAACAAATTTACAACGTTGTTCTCTCGCGCTGTTGACGCAATCGATACGGTCGCACAGCGACGGTAGTGGAGGTCTGAAGTTGAGGTAATTCTTCGTTAACACCAAATAATCGCAAAAACTAATTAACAACATCGCGATCGCACGGATTATTCAAGCATCAAGTCATGCGTTGCGCGTAGATCGTGCATTGTTATAGTCGCGCGAATTATTACAATCGCGCGATCGTATCCGTGATTATAATCAAAGTGTATGCCGAAAATATATTTAGACTAACCTATCGCGGGGACGTATCGCGGGCGAACAGACGACAAAATTTTTCAGTCGAATGCGTTACTTTTGTTCTTGACTCATTCAGTCCTATTGAATCTTAGTTTAATATTTTTGTATTATTTTTGTTACTTGCGGCCGCCGATGCAATCGACGAGTTTAAGCAGACGTGTGTTTTACAGCGCGCGATCGATTTGACGCAGCGCGACGAAGAATTAAATTTGCAAATACAAAAAGACACGTTTGTTGCCTGTAATTCTGAAAAAAATGGCTACAAGATATTACATCTTGCATGCAGCCATGCATCATTGAGTTGCCGCGATGCGTCGCGGCTCGCGACTCCGTTAGTGGTGCGCGATCAATAAATTTTACATTTTATGTTTGCGTTCTTTGATTCCCATATCAAAAAAAGAAGACACATAACAAAGTCTGTTATTGAATGAGGTAAACAAGTCTATCGGATCTATCGTTATATGGGAAGTGAGATTTTTCGAAAATAGTTATTTTCTGTTAAAGCTGTTTTCGGTGTATTAAGACAGAGCTTTGATCAGGAATATTTATTTTTAAACCACTGTACGCCATTGTGCGCTCATCTTAAGAAACGTTCGTCCGAGATTTTTTAATGTTTCCTAATGTTTACTAATTTCCTAATTGCTTAATATTGGCGTTCATGAAACAATATTGCTGTTTTATGCATAAAATGTTAAGTACCAATGTTCGCATGCATAAAATATTAAGTACCAATGTTCGCATGGAATGTCGAGTGCCCGTGCAGATTAATAAATGCTATGTGCAAGCGCACATGTAACATACACAAGCATATAACCTGGCGAGGGGAGAAGTTCAATGGTGGGGATACAGCCCCACGCGAAAGAGTATGAAATTTTGCAGAAGGGTGAAAAATTGTATTATTGAAAGAGCAGCATACGAGGCGATCCCTAGCAACCAGATTGCCATGCGGGATTTTTCACCCGATCGGCCTCTCACGTACCCACCCATGGTTCCAGCCACCCCTCAACCCTTCCACCCGCCTCTCAACCATTTAACCGTTGGCAATGTACCTACTACCCCGTCCAACCGCCAAACAACCACCCTTCTGTCCGCCGACCATCCACCCGCCTCGCATCCTCCCGCCTCGCATTCACGCGCCTCGCATCCACTCGCCTCGCATCCCCCCGCCTCGCATCCACCCGCCTCGCAT